TTCGGTTTCTAGAGTCAAATAATATGCTTTTCATAGTATCTCATAACTTTAACAGAAAATGAGTTTGTCCTATTAGTAAAAGAGGTAGTTCAATATATTGAGATTAGGAGAACCCAAAACAAATTAAGAAATGGTTAGATGTAGAGAAGAAAAAAATTATTGGATACCTATAGGTTTTCTAAGTGTTTATTTGGAATTGGTTCACAACTTCATAAAAATTATGAAATAATTTTTTAAAATTTTAAGTAATGATACGTACGCTTGCAGTTTTTAAAATTATCCAAAAAAAAAAAAAAAAGAAGAAGAAGAAAGATTGTAAATTAAAGTAGATATAAGCTGTCTAGAAATACTTAATTGTCTAACCAAAACCTTTTTATCACATTTGCGAAAAGAGGTGCTTGATTTTCCAAAAAGTTCTGCTTATGTTTAGTGCCTGGAATAACTTTTAAAATTATCTTCTTTGCTATTAAAATTGAAGCTGGGCTAAAAGACTTTCTTTTTTGAGAGGTTTTATGATTTTTCTTTAAAAATTATGGCGGTTTGATTGACTAACAATGATTGTCTATAACTATTTTTTAAAAATAATTGATTAAAGTATTTAAAAAGATATTTACACTGGTTTCAAACATTATTTTAGCTACCAATGAAATTCTACAATTATTAATCTCCAGGGACTAAATCAAATATAACTTATAAATTTTAGATTTTAATGACGTACAGCTAAATCTTTAAACTTATTTTATATGGTTTTGGAGTAGATTTTTTACTATGAATTTTTTGAATAATATTTTATGATTATTTTATATAAAATCCCAACTGCTAGTAATCAAACAGACTTAATTCTGAACTACTCTAACATAGAAACAAAACTTGGGTGGGGTGGGGTGGGGTGGGGTGGGGTTGGGGGGGAGGGGGTGGTTTGAGGCATGGCTTGAGCTTGAAATTGAATCAAACGCATGCAACTGTAATTGTTTACTCTCCTGTGTGAGACCATATGTGGCACTATCTTTTCATCGATTCATGCAGTTCTTTGAAATTAAATCTTCATGAAGTAGCTACTACTCTTAATAGTTAATACCACATGCCATCATTTTCTTCTAACAAAACCATCATGCCATCATTTTCTTCTAACAAAACCATCATGCTCGCGGGCATAGCTCCTCTCCTTCA